AAGCGGGGGAGGAAGGGGGGCTGGAGGGATCCATGCGGACATCTGCGACAAAGTAACAGCTCCACATAATACGAGATAACGAATTCGTACTGGCAGTTCGCGCGAGGTGGAGCCTATCGGCGACATGTAGTTCCCTAACCCGAATGCCGAAATTTGCTTTTTTGCTTCACTGGGTTTTCACCTCTTACCGTTCTTCTGCATCCTCATTTTTGCTCTATTCTTCCCTGTTCTTTTTTGAAGGAAAGTCTCTCTTCAATTGTTTTTCGGATTCCCGTAGTTTTGACGTTTTTCCACGATGTTTGTAGTATAGAAAACGCTGGAAAGAGGTGATAACGCAATAAAGCACAAGCACCCATGTTCTAGAGTTCTTCGCAGGGCAGAAGCATGACGCATGTATCAATCAAGATTCTTATTGGGACCCCGGTAGCGTTGTGGCGCCGCAGGGGCAGCGCTAGCTTACGGCGGAGTTTCAGCGCTAACACATGTGAGATAACTCTGAACAGAGCAATAGCTTCATAACTGATGGTGAGGCGCCAATAACGTTACCTTGATACTGGTGGCCGTAATAATAAATGCCGCTCAAAGTGATTCTCCCTCGTACGTAACGAACTTTTCATCTCACCTTATGCTTTTGATTATTGCGACCATAACCAAGGGCAGGTAGTAATAAAGTAACGAGAACTTGTAGCAACCATTTGCTGCTCATCTATCTAGTAAATTGGGAATCACTATATCCTCATTCTTGTGATTATTTTGCATGGCAATGGCAAAGAGCGGCGGCGCGCTGATAAAGTTTTCATGGAATATGGTAGTACTTCATTTGCTGCAACTGTACCATGCTAAATCTACTCGTGTATAACCATGTTTAGTGACTGTTATCTCTACATGATTTTTTCTTAACACCTCTAGGTTTAGGTAATTCTAAGAGAGGTGGATGAAGATGAGCCACTTGATACAATTAAACGAAAGCATCGACTCAAGATTGGGCTAGACACAGCGTATCTGAAACGCAACGTACTAGAGTAAGCGCAGTCAACGGTCTATGTTTATAAATAACAATCGTAACGTTTACTTCGGGCACAAGCATAGCCGTCGTATTCGTTTAAATTTCGGGAAAATGTCTGAAAGCTCTTCCCTGCGCTGGTGTAATGTACTTGATGCGCATTACAATATTCAATAACCAGCCAGCATGACTTGTCTCAATACGTTGTCCCCGCTCTATCTGGCAACCTCTTGGAGAGGTTTTAAACCGCACTCTACGAGCATGATTTCTGGCCCTGCTAGAAGGCGGAATGAATGGAGTGATATGTGCCTGGACAGCATCATGACATACGTGAGATATCGCGCGCTGTGCAGTGAGGATACAAGTTACAAACTGACATTTCATTTGCTACATCTTTCATTAGCGAAAATTTTGGAACTTTTTGAATCTACACCGTCAGGAAATCTTTTTGTCGCCTTTCTTCCTGTATTATTCTCTATCGATTATGATGCTCGCCACCATTTTCGTTTTTTCCTTCTTTTGGTACAAGCTTATTGTTAGTGTTTGTCGTCATTCACTTTCTATTTCTTGTGATCATAATCTTCGTTAAATGCAATCAGTCGGCTTATGCTAAACTTGTTTTAGTGGTATTTGTGCACAGGAAAGTCCTATAAACAAACGCCATGCTTTGAGAATGTGGATTTTTTCTTATTAACGAAGCTCTAATTCAAGTGCAATAAATCTTACTTTTCGTGGTCCCCTTACATAACTCATCAAGGTGGAATATTGGGGCACATAATGCGAGGACAGCCGCGTTGATGCGAGTAGGAAGAAAGGGGGCACAAAATCTTGAGCCAGTCTTCACAAAAAAAGCTTCGTATTCGTGATAAATTATCTGGGTTTTGGCAAAACACCACTGCTGTTTCCGATGGAAAAAAGTGAATTGGAAAAGAATGCGAAATCGTTATAAGCGATAGGCAAAACGCAAACAGGTTCACGCCAATATTGAAGGTGACGAAGACGAAAATGTGACTGACGAAATAATGCATGTAGGAAAACTTGACCACAGTCTCCTTTAAAAGTGTTGTTAGACAGAAAAATTCATTACGCACAGCCGGATTCTTTGTCTGCTGAGTAGCCGCTCTCACTGCGTTGGAAAAGATCCGATCCCACGAACTAGTATAGTACCCTACTCGGAGCCTCGAACGATGTTTCGGAGAAAAATTATTGGGGAAAAGTCTGAGAGATCGAGTTTTCGAGGGCTGAAGAACCTAGTGGTAAAAATCGCTTTATCTTTTTGAATAAATTTCTCCACTCGCTTTGATTCAGCCATGCAATGGTGAGTATGCGTGAAATAGTCAGTCACAATGTTTATTTCTTGTATCAACGAGAACGCTCGGGAATTCTAAGGAACACGCCAAAAGCAAGGAAATGATCGTAGTTGCTTAAAGGTTGCCGTCGATAAGGTCGAGTTCGTTGGTAGCTCAACGGAGAATGCAAGCAACACGAATTCGTTTTTGCCTTGAAGAAAGGCTGCAGTAACCAGCATTTAGCCACCTGCATTGCAAGTACCTAATTTCGCCAAAGGAGTGTAGGAGCCTGCAGCAATATCAGTGTATGAGTCTCTAAACATGTCACTAACGTCAATCATACCTATCATGCCTTGTAACATATCTTTCTTTTTTATGCGTTCTTTGCATATATGTTTGTATCACGGAGAAAACCTTTCATCTAACAAGGAAGGCCCGTTTGGTCGAAGTGGCCTTTTCACATAAAAATACGACCATAAAGAGCATCGAACGCTGATTCAAAATCTGTCTTCGTTATCTGCCGAGCGCCTTTGGACGTCGAGTTATGAGCGTTTTTGAACTGAAAAATCGAATGGATGATTAGCACAAAATTTGTCAGAATTGCTCAAATGGTCCAATGTCGAGCACTCCATACGAAAATACCTTCTGCCTAAAACACTCATACTTAACACTGCTCTATTTGAGCGCTAGAAAGTCCGTCGCAGTTACATCTGGATCATGCGTTCATTTATTTATTCATTTATTTATTCGTATGTATTGTGTGTTCTTCTTGTGCCGTACAGGTTGGTAGGTGGTCCTTTATTAGTCAGTATCAACGGCCTTACGTTTCAACGCTTTCGTCTTCGTCGGAGGCCTAGAATGGTTCTGAGTTTCATCAGTGAGTCCAGCCCACCAAATGTCTCCCCTAGTTCCGCCAGTTTTCGGCCTTCACCCAATCTAGTTGCCACAAAAATTGCGAAAGCAATGATATACCAGGGAACCACCGCTTCGATATCAGATGTCCGTACCGGAAGGAGACGGTCGCGACGGACGAATGAGTTATACTGTTTTGGATGGTAAATGATCTACAGTCATAACTCGCATAATGATATAAACGGGAGAAAGTCAGCGGTTATTGATAGACATTCGTTTTTGTTGTTCATTTCTGGATTCCTCGCAGAAATCCAGAAGGCTTCCATAGCTTTCCTAGCTGAGATCTCCTCTTCAAATGTTAGAATCGTGACTTTGATGTCAAAATCTTCATCACCATGCGCCACGCGCCTATGTCTGCCAAGCGTTGAAGCCATGTTCTTTCGTCTTTTATCTGCAAGATGTTCATTTACGCGAATGCTAAGCATTCTTCCTGTTTCCCCAATGTAACGTGTGATGATGATGACGAAGCGGTGGTTCCCTGGTATATCATTGCTTTCGCAATTTTTGTGGCAACTAGATCGGGTGAAGGCCGAAAACTGGCAGAACTAGGGGAGACATTTGGTGGGCTGGACTCACTGATGAAACTCAGAACCATTCTAGGCCTCTGACGAAGACGAAAGCGTTGAAACGTAAGGCCGTTGATACTGACTAATAAAGGACCACCTACCAACCTGTACGGCACAAGAGGAACACACAATACATAAGAAGAATGCCCAGGTTCAAAACAGACGGAACTTGGAAACTATTTATTTATTTATTTATTTATTTATTTATTTATTTATTTATTTATTTATTTATTTATTTATTTATTTATTACGCCAAAGGCACGCTACAACAGCAAATTAGTAACTAGCAGATGAGAGAAAAAACCAGTGTTAGAACTCAAACAACAGAAAAAGTACTACAGCAAATTTTATCGAATAGGGACATTCTTCGATCTAGGTCCAATATAATAGAAAAGGCATTAAGGTTTAGCTACTAGAAGCTGCCATAAGAATTGTTCACATGAGTTCGGGCATGCCACCCTCGCTCGACCAGCAAGCCACCTAGTTTCCAGGAGTATGACGTAGACAATGAAAATGAAAATGGGTATGCTAGCTCAACAAAACTAGGCAACCTCCGCGCTACCGACATACTGGATGAGCCACAAGCTCATTAGAGATGAATAGAAATTAGCTCGAGAATAAATATGCTTGGGCAGTCTTCGTAGGCTAGCCTTAGATAAACTCAAAGAAAATTAGACTCAAACCGTACAAATGTGTTCCCGATCAAACTTCCATTAGAGATAAGCAAAATCAACAGAAAACTATCATGTGAACAAAACGGACTATCTATCAACGAACTAAAGCAAAGTTATGCACTGAATCACCAGCCCAACGTGAGTTGTCAAACATAGGGTCGAAATATGAGGCCAACCGAGAGCAAGGATCTGAAAAAGGAAAACGAGGAAAAACAGCCAAAAGAGAAGAATGAGCTAAACTCCCTTGCAAGCATTTCAGACTAAAGACTATGACAGAAGTGCAACCGCCAAAACGAGCAGGCAACAGAAGCTCAGCCATAATCTGGAAGGACACAGACAAGAAAAGCGAAAAGAAAAAAACAATAAGAAAAAGGGGCTTAAACATCTAGAAATAATCAGACCCGTCAATTCCTAACAAACTCAAAATATCGCATTTCAAAAGTTTTTCTCTAAAGGTTTTTGAGTTAGCAGGAGACAAGACGGAATCTGGTAATTTTTCCATCCACCGTGCAGTGCGAACAAAAAAGGAATTGCGAAAAAAGCGCATTTGAAAGTTGAGAAGTTTCCGTTACAGGACAACAAAAGTTAAATCTACCTGTCCGTCCATGGCAAGGTTTCCACACCCAAAATTCACTGGGCAAAAGTTTGGTCTTAAGACGTATGATTTGAAACGCAAGGACTAAATCGACCATCACCCTTCGGTAAAGCAAACTATGGAGTTTCAAGCGTTGCAACCTGCCAGCAGGGTAATTGTCATTAGGAAAAAGTCTATAAAACAGGATACGAGTAAATGTCATCTGGACTTTCTCTAAGGTCAGAATATCTTTTTTTATAAATGGACTCCATACTTGGCTAGCGTAATCTAAATGCGGAAGGACATAAGCCACATACGTTCTAATGCAAACATTCTCAAGAGCATGCCTCAACTCAGATAATCGCTGGGGGCAGGCGGCCATGCGAATTTTGAGCAAGCGCGCACCGGAAAAATAGTTCGCTGATTTCTTGCGGTCCGCTTGCAGAAATTTGGAATAATTTTAACGAAATTTTGGCCGAATGCTTGGAGAACAATCGCGGCTTCCTTATAGATTAGCTGCGGCGCAGTGGCCACATTTTCGCGGACTTCCGCGAGAATATGCAAAATTTTCGGGGGCCGCACGGTCCTTTGTGGAGGACCGCGCAGCCCCCAGGTACTTTCCGCTGAGAGAAAGTACCTCAACATTGAGTAATTAAACCAACGGTGACACCTCTGCCACACAGAGTCTTACCTGTGCTCGGTACGCCCGAAAATGCGTAAAAAGAGTCCGAACGCTTGCTGAAAGTTTGGCCAGCGCTCGCTGAAAGAAATTATTTGCCGAGCGCTTGCAAAAAATGCTGTATTGCTGCCCGCTGGCAGAATATGCGACCGTAAAGGAAGTGCCGCCCGCTGAAGGTTTGGCTGCGCCCCAAAATTCTGCTAAACGCCTGCAGAAAAGCGCGAGTTTGCGGACCGCCTGCCCCCGGCGATTATCTGAGAAGTTACGCAGCAAGAGAAACATTCTGTGCAGGGCCGCACGTGCTATTTTCTCAATATGGGATCTAAGTCGAAGGTCATGGTCCACCAGAACTCCAAGGACTCTTATAAGTTCAGGTCTAGGGAGGAAGGTGTCAGAGTCCCCATAATCTTCAAAAGTGCATTTATCCACTCTTTTTCTTGTGATAGTCAAGCAAGCACTTTTAGTTAAGTTTACATCAATATTATTTGTAGTTGCCCAGTGCAACATATTATGCACTGAATTTTGCAGGCACTATGTTACTTCCTCCCTATCAGCATCAGTATATGATGCAAATACTTTGATGTCATCAGCATAGGCCATAATCTTAACTCTGTTGTCGGTAGATAGGAGGCTAGGAAGATCGCTTGTATAGATATTGAAAAGGACAGGGGACAGTACTCACCCTGTGGCACACCACTTGTTGCTGGGAAAATCGAAGAGGTAGCAGAATCAGCGGACGGAAAAGGTTCTATCAGACAAATAAGATGAGAGCCATTTCAAAAGAGGGCCACGAATTCCCACTCCAAAAAGCTTTTCAATCAATTTGGGAATGTCTACTCTATCAAAAGCTTTGGAAAAGTTTGGACATTTTTCGCACAAAGAAAATAATCACTACCAAAATGATACCGTTGCTTGATACCCCTGCTTTCATATTGCTTCAATATTTTTTTAGCTAACCTGGCGCAGCATTGCCTTTTTTCTTTGCTTTATCTTGGTGATGATAAGGGAAGTGCATGTGAAGTGGAACAACGTGTAAGTAAATTTTCGAAATAGAGTTTGTAATGAAGTAGGACGAACAAGTTACTCTTATACAGAGTTTTCAATCTAAGTTTATTAGGAAGTTTCCTCCTCCATGTCCCATCTCACCTTCGGATTAGCCAAGTGTTCGATTAGTGAATGATGAGTTGAATGAAGATGCTAAGGAAAATCCTGTTTTTGGATAATACCATGTAAAGTGAGCGAAATCTCTTAACTTCAGAGTTGAGCAATCAAAATGTCCATCGCCGTGAACGTTTACGTTCATGAGTCGATAGTTACGGCCCTACAATGAAATCCCAGCTGCAAGTGCTTTCTTTGGAGACTTATGTCTCTGCAGGTAGTTTTCTTCTAATAGCTTTGCATCTTACATTAGTTAACTCTATGGGTCATTGATGTGCATTTTCTAGGAGATGGGTCGTATGTCAACTGGAACATGATTTTCCGTTTCTTAATCGATATTCGATACGTCTTTACTTGTTATCCATGCTATGTGAAAGTATTCACCATGGATAGCATTGTGTTGTTAGCTTTTGATGTGGGGCCAACTACATGTCGATCGTTTACATGAATCAAGTTGATTGCTTGTTATGTGAATGGTAATAAATTCTCGGACGTGCATCGAAGAATTATGATTTTTTTGCGCAATGAGATGACAGTATTGTTTATGGAACAAATACAGTGAAAAAACCTAGGAAAAACCTAAAAATCAATACGTCTTAAAATGGCCTGACATTTGTACTGTTAGGTCTTCCTTTTGTAAAGACTTTATTTCAAGCAACGGTTTGATGCTTGTCGCGCACTTTCTTGTCGCTTCCGTCTTTTCCTGTAATGCAGAGGCGTCAGTAACAGAGAGCTATAGATTGTATCTCACTGAAAGAATTGCACTAAACGCAATGAGATTATGGAATCAAAAAAGCAGCCGAAATTATTGTTGAAGAAAAAAGCGGCAACATCTGCCCTGACTAGATCACAATGGTCTTCGTTCCTTCTTTACTCTTTCTGCACTTTTATGTGAATAATTGCAGTTCAAGAAAACTTACACAGTACTCGCACAGAAACTTTCTAAATGACGTTTTGTGATTTTCAAAAACTTTCCACCATCAAAAAGAGACTACAGTCTGCCCTAATCCCAACCAGGCCAAAATTGGCATGGCGGGAGTCCGCGTCACTAGGGTTTCGCGGTCACGCCCACGACCTGCTTCTCTGCTCTCTCTTCAATTCTTTTGCTCTCTCTGACAGCGCAGACTGCTAGCGCTGCGAGCGCGCAAATTTACGCGGACGGTTCGGCCTGATCCCGATTGGAGCAGACTGTAAGTTGTATTTTCCGAGACAATGAATGAATAGAGAAACACCCCTCATTTATATAATTATTTCACAAATTTGAAAACTGCTGGACTGGAAAGCGGCATTAATTTGACTCTCGCTGACATCATCCAATTTTGCAATTAGAGCTTACGCAAGCTTCATGATATTAGGGTGAACGGTAAAAAATGGACAGCTTGATTTTTATTACATTTTGGAATTTTTTGTTTCGAGCAATTTTATTTTGAGCAACAGCAAGTAGGCTGCAACTTAAATGCCGCTTACATGGGCGACCTTCGCCTATTATTTTGACAACGCGTTAACGCTCCTCCTCCACTACTCTACGCGTGGCGCCGTGAAGAACTCGAACAGGGTTTTTTGAACATTTCTCAATCTTGCGCTGTTATACCGTAAAGTCGAAGCAAGCGACATACCATTCGAAAGAGCTCTTCATGCTCTTTCGAACAATATGTTAAACGCATGAGATTTCTTTTCAATTTCAGAAAAAAAACTGAAAAATAGCTATTTTCGACGCAATAAAAAACCAAAAAATCGTGTTTTCCTCTATATTTTCCGAAGGTAGATAAAATCTGAGGTAAGCTGCATATGGATGGATAGAGCATAAAAAGCTCTATCATATAATACCTAGAAAACATGCATTTACCTGCAAAGAATTGAATAACGCGTACATTTGTCCTCGAAGCTGTTAATGGCCATATCTCCTGACTTTGAAAGTTGAAGCCACCACGTCGTGGATCTGGTGACTGTCCCACCACCCACTCCAGCAGTGGCACTTTGGGTGGTCTCACGTGTTTCATTGCGCACATACTGCTTAAACTTCATAATTTATCGAAGTGACTAACTTGCATTTCAGCAAGCATAAAAATTATCAATTATATAAATGAACTTATATAGGTACTATCTGAAAGAGAATAATTTATTCTAATCTTCAGAAATCTGCAATTATTCTCAAGGTGTCCTATTTCTTACCGTTCACCCTAATTATAGCAGTTAACAGATAGATCAACAGATAGAATGCGTATTCAAGATTTTGCTTCCTTGTGACATCTAGGAAAGTGATGTTCTTGTAATGAGCTAGAAGCATATATGAGACTCCCTGTGGGTGATAAAAGTTGGTGTCGTTGTTCCCATCATAACAGTCACCAGTGAGACGAATTAGTCTGTCCTTTGCATGTGAGGACAGTGGAAGGTGCTGCGAATTTCACATGGAAAATGAAAGTTCAAGAAATTTGAAAAAAAATATAGAACTAAAGCATCACTTCTCATTCCGCTAACCTGGTATGTGACAACGAAAGCCCGATTTTTTCCGATATTCGTTCTTGGGTAAACGTAGGTGTTGTCCTGCTAACTATTTGCTTTTTGAAAGCTCTTGCCGTTGAGTGTAGAATTCTCAAAGCAAAAAAAAGAAGAAAAGAATGGAGTTCGGCGGGCTAAGTTTTGCCGCCCTTCCTTTTCAGAATGTTACGGGCGCAACATTCTGAAAAGGGAGGAGAGCAAAATTTCTGAAAAAACAACGTTCATGTAAAAGGTACTGCATCACGAAGGCGCAAGAGCAGTATTAGTAGAGCGGGGGCGAACGCGGTGCGCGCATATTGTCACCGTCATAAATCCTGCGCCTCATGCGCTCTGCGGCTAATAAACTCGCGTTCGCGCCCAAAGATATTGCGCCTTCGCTCATGCAGCAGCCTATAAATAGTATAGTGGCGAACGAAAAATCCAGCAGTGTATCAATCCGGACGCGCCTTGCGCTTGTCAGACGGCAGAATGGGACGAGTATACCGAGAAAGATTCAAATTGCCGCGGCGACGCGGCCCTGCGCGGCCACCCGAAGAAAATGCGTGCCTTGCGCCGTCTCCCGTTCCCACAGTGCAGGCTAACGATCTTACAAGAGCTAACAAGTGCGGCCACATTTCCTCCGGTAGTACCAATCACAAAGATGCACATGTTTGGAGAACTGATTTTGACTTGTAAACTGGCATGAACGTGGCACACTCAATTATATCAACGTGGATGGTTGGATTATCAATCAATGGCTCAACTGATGCAGATCCGACTCGTCGAATCCTACACTGAACCTGATAGGGAGAGAACTTAGTCGAAAGCGCCAATCCAGATGAGACATACAGGGTGTCCCAAAAAAATGTTTCGAACGTTTGATCGTTAATATCTCTCTTCCCAAGAAGTCTTTTGCCTTGCTTCAGGTAACATTTTGTAGATCTGGCCTCAACTTAGATTCACATTATAGAACGAATCATCCATCTCTCTTCATTACTGTAGGATTACGGTAGAAACTTGAAACGTATGGTGTCAACGCGGAAAAAGCTGCCACTTCAAAATTTTTCAAACAAAATGTGAAAACTTGTGTAATGGGGTTTTTATGGACGCTGAGTTCAATACTCAACTATTCACAAGATTGCAAAGCTTTCTAAACGGTGTAACCGCACTTTTTAGGAACATTGAAAAAAAGGCCGCTTCCTCTCACCTGGCATAACTCTTCAATGAAGCATCATAATAAGTTGGGAACTTTACAGTTATAATCAGCAATTCTAATTAGCCTGGTGTAAAAGTTTTCAGGCTGTTTTGTTTCCTTTCTGAGGCAAAATATGGCCTTTCATGGTTCAAAACCCTCTTTGAAGTTTCTACCGTAACACTACAGTAATGAAGAGAGATGGGTAATTCGTTCTATAATGGAAATCTAAGTTGAAGCCAGCTTTACAAAACGGTACCTGAAGCGAGGCAAAAGACTTCTTGGGAAGAGAATTATTAACGATCAAACGTTCTAAACATTTTTTGGTACACCCTGTATATTAGGTTGTCCCGAAAGTTCGTTCGCATCATTTTCAAAAAATCATAACTTCTTTGCGTCATAACCATTTTGCGCATTTCAAATTTTATTAAAAAGCGCAAAGCATGTAGTTTCCAACAATCCCCTGCTAACTTTCCAGCATGTTCAGATTGCAGAGATAAAAATGAAAGAACGAAAACATCCGAAATTCGGAATTTTTGAGCAAAAATTCTAAAAATCTAGAAACTGCGCGATAAAATCCAGAAAAACCATTATCATAATTTTTCTTATATTTGATTACTAACCGAGTTAAGTTTATGCTGATCGAGCTCTTCTTTCAAAAGTTATGATTTTTTGAAAAAAATGTCGAAAAATCAATTTCTTAAGATTCTTAGGAAAGTGATTTTTCGGAATTTTTTTCAAAAAATCGTAACTTTTGAAAGAAGAGCTCGATTAGCACAAATTTAACTAATTTAGCAATCAAATATTTAAAAAATTATGGCAATGGCTTTTCTGGATTTTATCGCGCAATTTCTGAATTTCTAGAATTTTTGCTCGAAAACTCCGAATTTCGGATGTTCTCGTTCTTTCACTTTTATCTCTGCAATCTGTACATGCTGAAAGGTCACCAGGGGACTAATGGAAACTACATGCTTCACGCTTTCTAATAAAATTTAAATTTTGCAAAAGCGTTATGATGCAAAGAAGTTATGATTTTTTGAAAATGGTGCGAACGAATTTTCGGGACAACCTAATATATAGGGTGTCCCAAAAAATGTCTAGAACGTTTGATCGTTAATATCTCTCTTCCCAAGAAGTCTTTTGTCTTGCATCAGGTACCGTTTTGTAAAGCTGGCTTCAACTTAGATTTCCGTTATAGAACGAATTACCCATCTCTCTTCATTACTGTAGGATTACGGTAGAAACTTCAAAGAGGGTTTTGAGCCATGAAAGGCCATATTTTGCCTCAGAAAGGAAACAAAACAGCCTGAAAACTTTTACACCAGGCTAATTAGAATTGCTGATTACAACTGTAAAGTTCCCAACTTGTTATGATGCTTCATTGAAGAGTTATGCCAGGTAAGAGGTAGCGGCCAATTTTTCAATGTTCTTAAAAAGTGCGATTAAAATGTTTAGAAAGCTTCGTAATCTTGTGAATAGTTTAGCATTGAACTCAGTGTCCATAAAAACCCTATTACACATGTTTTCACATTATTTTGAAAATTTTTGAAAAGGCAGCTTTTTCCATATTGACACCATATGTTTCAAGTTTCTACCGTAATCCTACAGTAATGAAGAGAGATGGGTGGTTCGTTTTATAATGCAAAACGGTACCTGAGGCAAGGCAAAAGACTTCTTGGGAAGAGAGATATCAACGATCAAACGTTCGAAACATTTTTTTGGGACACCCTGTATATCGTCTCGAAGCGCTAATTCCAAACCTATAGTTTCTAGCTGCG